TGTACTTAATATTCATTTGGCTGCAACAATTTATGAGAAATTTCCTGTTATTCAATTAAAAAACGTGACCACCTTAACAAAACACCAAGTTTTTCTAAACTCAATTTTCAGTTCGGAATAAGCCCAGGCACCAAATAATTTTTTTTTGGAAATCTCGTCTAAAAGAACCCTCTGAAATTTGGTAATTAAGAGCCCTTAAAAATTACTAAACCATATACTAAGGTTTATTGCAGGGACTGGAATGCATTAGGCTTCAAGACAGGTTGGTAATAACGGAATGGGAATGCAATCCTGAGCTCTAAAATTTTTTATGCTTCCTGTTCTCAGGTAGCTTTGGAAAAGTTGATGAAACTTTTATTGGGCAACGTTTTACCTCCCTTATGGAAATGAAGGCTCCAGTGTATGTCCTAGCGATTTTCGCAGTACTGTTAAAATGAAAACTGAGAATAGAAGTGAATTTTATTCTTACTCATTTAACAGTGTTCCCAAGCCTTATGTTGGATAGTTTCATTTAAAAAGCAATATAAAAGTCAGATTCGGTCTTACTTTATACCGGAAGTCCCTGAGCCTTCTTGGTCTGCGAACCACATTGATACCTTTATTAAACCTTGAGTCCTTGTCATAGCACAAGTATCGATTTATCAATGTTCTGAACCACTGATATATCGACATAAAATCATCCATTTTTGTTTTTCTTAGTTTACTGTGTATTTTAGAAAAGTTAATAATTGATTTTTAAAAATTGTTACATAATCATATTTCTTGGTTCATCCAGGAATCTTATTTATTTTAAAATTATTAATTCAAATGATTTCAAATTATAACATGGACCTTCCTTTAAAATTCTCTAAAATCAGATGAAAATCTGATTGTATCTATAAAAAAAATAATGCTAAGCAGAATGTGGTCAGAATGCTGTGTGTATGTGTCATGAAAGTGTATGTTTTCATTAATGTGCGTTTTGATATTACTCAGAAAATGGGAAAAACCAACATATAAACGATTTTTTTCCCTATATTAGTGTTGTTTTTTTAATGATTTTTAATGTTTCCTATCTGCTGAAATAAAATAAATAGTTTGGCCTAGGTGTAATGTCTGTGTTCGTTAAGTAAAAATAGGCAATGGCAAACGAGTTCAATCTGTTTTTCTCAAACGAATTTCATTTTTGGTTAAGTAGCTATTGACGAACTTTAGTGTTATCTAAAAAAAAAATTTTTCGTTTTCATACTCATTAAATATATTCCTTCAGATTGAAAAGTTTACATTTATTAAGAAAATTACATTTTATTTCCTTAAATGCAGATGATTTACGTAAAATAATGTCAGTTTTCTCAAATGATTATTTATATGTTTTTGGCACTCTCCTTACCTTGTACAACTTTATTTATTTGATATTATTTTTTTCTAAAACTCTTCGGTTTCCAACGATATATTATACATATATGTTCTGACTGTTATTTCCGGAGATTCATTTTCAAAGTGGATAAGCAAGAATTTTTCTTTTTTTTTTTTCTCCAGTTTCGAATTATCATATTCTGTCAAACTTCATATTTTGCTATTTTGAATAGTTACCGTCAATAAAAGAGAGCTAATTTATTAAATAAACCATATTAAAAGTACTTTAGAGAAAGACGTATATGAGCATTGAGTATTTAAGCCAAGTTAAGTGACATCAATGGGGATAAGACTTGAATGATATAAAAAAGCACTTAATTATACAAGGATGCACCGAGTTTAATCAAAATCGTTTTAGCCATTTTTTAAAAAATTGTAAAATGTGGTTTACCGTTGGTATAAAGTGGCACTTCCGGTCAGCCGATTTTAAGGAAAACGTTGCTGTAACATCTCAGTCATATACCTATCTTAAATACGTAATATCAGATTCGTACAACTATTCGTTTTTTATCTAGACGGTTCATATACACAGACATACAGACCATTTTGCAGGAGTTGGTTATTAGGACACATGGAACCTCAAAACATGTATTTCCGTTGAAAAATCAGATTCGAAAATGTTCGCTATCGCAATATTTTCTCTTACTACACTACTTCATATTACACATATAGGCAAGTGAAAGTAAGTAATTGAAAGCAGTGCATATAAATAAAAATTTAAATGTTAAAAATCGTTAATCACTGAAAGCCCTTCATCTATTGTTTGGAAATTTCGATAAACGTTGGAATCAAATTTAGAAGTGTTTTTAAATGTATATCATTTCTATCCGGCATTTTGTTTCTCAATGGCGGCTGAAAAACCTGATTGGCTATAGATTCCTTAAAGCCCTTCTAATTTATGTATACAACAGACTCCTCCGAAATGAGGTTTAAACCAAAAGTAACAAATGAACAATAACTCAAAAATAACAAACAATTTCTTACAAAAAGACAAGTTTAAAGGGAAAAGTATCATTAAAATCGAAGAAACTTGTTCGTTACGATATTTAATTAGAGTTAAATAAAAATGTAATTGTTATTTTCCAGATATCGCTGTCATGCCAAAATTATATTTAGCATATTGCTACAGTATAGAAATGTAACAAGCTGTACCAACCGAAGGAATAAATGGGATTCAAAATTTTTTTTAAGTAAAAACCAAATTGAGATTTATATTTTTCACATGAAAAACTGTCAAATACGAATTTACGTAGCATTCCATAAATTAAAAGAAATTCTTTCAAATATCCACCGTGAGCAAAGGGGGTTCAATATAGTTTTTGAAAAAGTAGATGGAATCATATATTTATTAGGCGTCTAGAGTCCTTTGCCACATCACTCTGTAGTCATAAGTGGCATAGTTATAGGCATAGTTATTTATACAATAGTTCAATTGTCCAAAATATTTGTCTGTGAAGAAATCGTTCAGTCTTCAGAATACAACAATCCTTAAGAACTCAAAGATACGAACTTTGGATAATATTAATTATTAAAAAATGTGTTACAATAAAGCTCATTTAAAAGTAACAAGATAGACAGTCATTGCTGGTGGCTAATTTCATTGAAATAATTGGAAAACAGTTACAGTCACTACCTACCTGACAATACAAAAACGGAATTTTTATTATACGACCTTAATGCAAGCTAGGCCCCTTTTTGGTGCTTTTTAGCCTATTTATGACAGCAACGCCGGACCATCTCCTTTCTTTGAAAATGCTATTTGTTCCTAACGATCAATCCAAACGACCGGTTGGAGGCACCGACCGGTAATTTTACCTCTTGAATTGAACCTTTAAAGTTTATCCTTTATACCTTTGTTCCTGCCAGCCGCCGAAGGTACCTCAGTGCTCGCAAGGTAGGTGGGTAATAAATATTATTGATAGCAATACCTTCACTAGATATTATTTATGACAAGTGTTGCTGGCAGGCTAGTTCCCGATAGCATTTGCAAAATCTTTTACATAACCCATGAATTTCGTTTTCGATGTGAACGTCCATTTCCTTTTTATTTGTTAAAACATTCAATTGATATTCTTTTAAATAATTAAATATAAAATTCCAATAAATGATTTAGATCTCAGTCAAAACATATTTTGTTATAAAAAAATCCAAATTATTGCCAATCCAGGCATCTTTAGGAATATCATCTAATATTAAAATCTGTTGGTAATGTGTTATACATATGTGTAGTGGTGTTCAGCCAGATCGAATCATACTCTAAACTGATGTTAAGGAAGGAAATATGTACTGCGTTCGATGTTAAAAGACTAAATCTAGGGCGACGGAGTATCTCCTATTTTATTAAACTTAGTGCTAGATAAAATCATGAAGACATTCTCGAAAGCCTACTAGTCTGGAGATAGGAAAAGGGATGAATGAGGTAGAACTCAGTCAGATATTAAGCATTTGCTAACGGTTAAGCATTGCTGGCCTGGAATAACTTTAAGACACGCTGGCTGTAATCAGACCAGGTCCACATAGTTCTTATGATAAGATTATCATTTATTACACGTAAGTTCAAAAATCTATTCTAAAGTTCATATATAAATTTAATATTTCTATGAAAATCATTTAAACCTATGAAAAACATTCAAGCTGATCTAACTTATATATCATGATAGATGGGTAGATACATGATTCCATGTACATAATAGTAGAACTCTTAATTCTAACCTTAGTGAAGTATCGTGATAGAAATATAATCATTATCAAAAAACTTCTATAAAATATTTTTAAAGTTGAAATTCATATTAGGCCTAGCTGATAATAATTTGTGATCAGTTACGGACGAATTTCAATGTCACTATTAGTGTTGCCCAAAATCGGTCTTTCTCTCCGCAACACCAAGAGCAAGGCCGCCTAACTATTGCAAGGCCAAGACCAGAATCGGTAAAAAAAATCAATTTTTTAAAAATAAAAATTAAGTCAAAATGGTTACTAATACTTGACAATCTTCGTTACTATATTTTAATAATTGGTTTAACCAATATGCTTTTGCATTTAACTCCTCTAATCTTTTATTCTGGCTTAGTTAGGTTTCTCCTATCGTCAAGATTATGACTAAGACTGAGTTTGCAAGACCAAGACTCGTCTCGGTCTCACATTTGGGCAACACTAGTCACTATCTCAGAATATGATCCTTAATGCTTTTAGAAAGTTTCAAATTAGTCATCAGTCAAGCCATAACATTATAAATATTTTAAAATTAAAATATTAACTTTATAAAAAGGATTAATTTCATAAAATAATATTTTTTAAAATAACACACCCTTTTATTTTAATCAAAAATTTTAATTTAAAAAACGTGAATTCTAACTATGTACGATATACTTAAAGGGAAAGGGTAAAATAAATAGATAATGCAATTTTTAATATACAAAATTTATTCTAAATAAAGATATAAAAAAATACAGTTGGCATACTTATTTTTACATATTTAATAAGAATAAATATAATTCTATTTCAGTAGTCATATTAACACATTTCCACCAAAAAAATTAAAATTACATAATTACAAATGTTTTAATAGTAAAATACAATTTACATCACTTTGAACGTATTTACATAGAAAATTCGTATATCTGTTTCCAGTCAATTTAAAAAAAAATTACACAATATCGACTAGCAAATTGAAAATTACATAAACCAAAGAATTTAGATAATAAAATATAATTACAATTATATATATTATATTATTATTATTATTATAAATCATAATGTTACATCAGAAATAACTTTCGCGATTAGATTACAGAGGTCATTCAGGAAGAGTTCCCTGTTAGGCCCAGGTAAGGAAGCGACAAATGTGATCAATGCGTCGCTGTAGCTGACGGGCACGTCGTGGCTTCTGTCGGGGTCAGCGTACCTCTCGGGGTCCTAATAGCAAACAGAACGTAACCGTTAATAATCGTGATGGCATTGCACATAGTAGAAAATATCATCGATTAGTTGAAAACAATTAAAAGATATTTACCATTCTAAAGTGTTCTAATCTCAACAGTTGCCAGCTCAACTTGCTGTGTTCGCCGAGAATCCATTCACCGCCATCCCTATACAGGTCCTGCACATCATGAAGTTTTTTGATGATGGCTCCTCTCTTGGAGGTGGAAAGGAACTCCAAAGCGTTAGCGACGAAGCTCCCCATTCGAAGTGTCCTCCACTGTTTTAAGCTGTTGTTAGATCGTCGATCTGAAATACAAAAGAAAAAAAATATATTTTTACATATATCGAGTAAAGAGTTAATACTGCTTCTTGATTCAAATGTAAATGTACTACTATATACTTTTCTAAATTTGAAATTAGTAATAAAATGCTAGATATGTACATGTAAAGAAACTAAATATGTACACACCTGTGGAAGACCGTGAGTTGCAATGTTTCTCCATGCTGTAGTTGGCAAAGTAGCTGAACAGATAGTGAATGTTCTGGCCCTGTTGAGTGCTCCAGCAATAGGGGGCGGATGGTGGGGGAACTACCTCCTTCCGAGCATTCTCATTGGCTGGGGCGTTCCACCTCCAAATTGTTAGCCCCCTCCTCTCCTCGAAGGATAGTGACATTATTAATGACTGTTCCAATTAGAAAATTAAGGACATTAATTCCGACGGGACGAGCACTGTGTTGTCAAACACACGTCAAATAGCCTTTGACAACAATGAGAACTTACGAGCTAACTGAACCTTTTTTTCACCCCTTCCTCATCTATTAGAATTTCCAGCCAGTAGAGAGTAGATTAACGAGTTAAAGTTATTACTTAATAATTATTTTATTATTTAAACTTTGTCAGGTTGCTGGATTGCGCCAGTTTTCTTACTCTATTTAGCCTGATAGTTATTTGTTTTGATAATAACTGAAACTAAAACAATAAAAAAAAAATTACATCAAATATTATTTAAAATTTTGATTTTGTCATCCTAGATGAGAAATAAACTTTTATATTTTTCTGTACATTAAGATTTAGAGATTATATTATAGATAGTTATATAATGATTATATTGGTTTAGCAAATAAGTTCTTTCACTTCTATTTATTTTTATATCACTATGGTACACTTATTTTCCGAAGAATTAATCAATAAGGTGGATTTTTTATTCAGTTTGTAATATGTCAACAACTATATCTGTTAACTTCTGTTGAAACTAGCTTAGTATTGGGTTTGCGGTTGCACTGTGAATATGGAAGAAAATATCATTCATTATGAACATATTGTGACGTATTATTTTTAAAAAGTAAGCCTGCTGCAGAGGCTCCTAAAAACATTTGCATTGTTTACGGGGATGATGCATTAGCCGAACTTAACCGTCTACATTGGTTTACCGAATTATATTCAGGAAATGTTGACATCCATGATCCACAACTGTCTGGTTGCCTAAATGAAAATGAAACGAGCAATGTTAAGCCCATTGTTGATAAAAATCCCACCCAATAAGTGCGAGAGATTGCTATGTCCCTAAATGTCTAGTTCGGGAGCGTAGAATACCATTTGCACAAGCTCGGCTACGTTTCGAGTCTTAATGTTTGGGTCTTTCACATGACATTTTTTTTTGATAATCACAAAAAATGTTTTAAATTTATTATGAGTGGCAGTGGATCAGCTGATGCGAAAGGACGTGTTTCTACATCGTCTCTCAGAATTTACTTATTTTGCAGTGAAATCTTTGAGATTATTTATTCAAAACAAGTCAAGAATACATAATAACAATTGATATTTATTTTTTGTTATAAATTATAGGGTTATTTTTATTTTTTTTTATTTTTTTTTTTTCATTTTTCATTTTTTTTCCCTTATATGCGATTTCACAATCAGGCCATGTCTAGTAGAGCTTCTATCAAGAGAATTCGGCCGTTAGGCTCAACACCTTGTTCTTCGCCTGTCAAACAAAAGCCTCGTCAATGTCGTCAAACACCTGCAGTAACGCCTATTAGCTCCAGAGAAAATGAAACCCAGCCAGGAACATCATCAAAACCAACAATTGAAGAACTTCAGCATCAACCAGGTACATCTTCACAAGAGATAACCGAACAATCTCCGTTTTTCACCCCTAACCCCTATCAGGTGCTTCAGAATGATAAAGAAGTGATGGAATCCGCTTCAATACCAAGAGATCCCCGACCTCCACCCATATTCGTTAAAAACATAAGCAATTTTCAGTTACTATGCTCACAACTGAACAAAATAACAGGCTCTGGAAGCTATTCATGTCTAAGCAGAACAAAGGACACGAAGATATCACCAGATACAGCTGAAACCTACAGAAAAATTGTGAAGTATCTAACGGAAACCAACGCGGATTTTCATACGTACCAATTACGGCAAGATCGAGCTTTGAGGGTAGTCATAAGAAATCTACACCCCTCAACACCAACCGAAGCAATAGAAGAAGAATTGAAAACTTCAGGTTTCATAGTGCGCCAGATTACAAATGTACAGAAGGAGAGTAAAGAACAGCCAGGAGTAAAAGTTCCTCTACCCTTATTTTTCGTAGATTTGGAGCCAAATCAAGGGATCGAAAAAATATACGAAATAAGAAGAATATACTACACAAGTGTTATAGTAGAGAAGCCATATCCTAAGAGGGAAATCGTACAGTGTCACAATTGCCAGGCATATGGCCATACCAGGACTTACTGCCATCATCTGCCGCGCTGTGTGAAATGTGGAGAGCAGCACAAATCCGGGGAGTGCACAAAACCGAAACGGGATCCTGCAGTTTGTGCATTGTGCCTTGAAGGACATCCAGCGAACTACAAAGGCTGTCAGATCTACAAGAATATTAAATCAAGATATCAAAAATCCCGGACCCAAGAAGAAGCAGAGGCATCAAGAAGAGAACCTAACGCATCAAGAAGAGGACCTTAAAAAAAAATTGACCCAACGGTGTCTTTTGCACACTTATTAGGAGGTAAGAATGATGTTACTTATTGTGAGACCCTGCCGCAACAACAACACATACCTCAAAATTCTCAACCCCACCCTCAACATCCTAATCAAACTTCACCTAATCAACAGTTTTATCAACACCAAATTCCCCGCATTCCTCCTCCCTCAAATACCACAGATCTCACCAGTTTACTTACATCTTTCCTCTCCGAATTCAGATCCCTTGTTACTCCTTTGATATCTCTTCTCACCAATCTTGTATCACATTTTATCCCTCCCGCGAAAAATCCTTAAATGACTTCCAATAAACCTTTATCCATTCTCCTTTGGAATGCGAATGGTGTTAGAAATCACACAAACGAACTAACTACATTATTACTTGACAAAAATATTGACGTGGCACTAATTACTGAAACTCGACTAACCACTAAACAGCACTTCAAAATACCACAATACCTGACATATCGTACTGACCACCCTGACGGAAAAGCACATGCCGGTACTGCTGTCATTGTACACCAATCCCTCTCCCATCACCTACTCCCGTTACCTACACATGATTTCCTACAGTCCACCGCTATCGTGATAAAAACCTTTTCCTTTCCGGTTACCCTTGCATCAGCGTATTGCCCTCCTAACCGATCCATATCCAATGCCCAATTCCGTTCTCTCCTCGACTCCTTAGGACATCACTTCATCTTGGGTGCAGACCTAAATGCCAAACATCAACAATGGGGTTCCAGAACCACGAATACTCGTGGCCGAACCCTGCTGTCTGCACTCAATTCCCAACATTTTCATCTCCTTTCCCCCAACTCTCCTACCTACTGGCCTACAGATCCCAACCGTAATCCTGATCTTCTTGATTTCTTTATCCACAGCGGCTTAAGTCCCCTCAATTGTTCCATTACACGTCTAAATGAACTTTCCTCTGACCATAGTCCTCTAATCCTTAATTAGTTTAGCTATCTACTAGAAACTTAGCATGAATTTGGAGCCACTTAAACTACACAAAATTTGGTCAACAGGACCTTCGTAAACAAATTACAGATGGAGATAATGAATAAAAACCTATAAGGTGTTTTTATTTATTTATTTCTTGTGCAGATATTGAATAAAAAAAAACGTTCATTCGGGTTTGAAGATCAATAATTTAATTTTCCAACATTAAAGTAACATCGAATTTGGAGAAAATCCTGGAGTGTTATGAACGATCGGTAGGTTGTTGTGTTCCACCAAGACAACGCTAGGTCCCACACCTGATTGGTCACTCGCAATACATTTTTGAGCCTTGGATGGGAGTTATTGCCTCACCCTACAAATTTACCAGACCTAGCTCCAAGTGACTACCACTTATTCCGGTCTCTGCAGAACTCTATGAATGGAAAGAAATTTCAAAATGAAGAGGACACCAAAAACCACTTGGATCAGTTTTTTAACAATAAACCTCAGACATTCTATGAACATGACATTATACAGTTAGTGGAAAGATGGATAAAAGTCATATTAAATAATTTTCTATGTATTTTAGAATAAAATTAATTTTGTGTCTATAATACATTGAGTTTTATTTTACCCTGAAAATCCGAAAGGACTTATTTGAAAACCCAATATAATGAATATATATCTAAGATCCGGTATTGGTGTGAGTGCAACAAATTACATTATGACCAATTTGAAACTTTCTATTAGCATTAAAGATCACATTTAAGAAGCTGTAGTGAGCTATTCTTCAAAATTTCCGAATTTTTAAAAATTCGAGCCAGAAAGTCTAAAAGCGGTAACGGCTGCATCAAGAATCAAATATCAACGACTATTTTGGACATTTGTGTTCAAATATCTCAAAATTTTAATGACACGGAGAATTCAGATACCAAATTGCGAACGTTAGTATGAATATTATTTTTTACCCCCAAAAAAAAAATACTTTTCCATTAGCCGGGCACAGAACAGTAATGAAGTATTCCAAATTTCGTATAATCATAAGGTTGTTTTTACAACCATGTTCTTTTGGGGTCATATGCTCGATTCTCAGAATTCATTAAAAAAAAAACAGGTTTTCTTCCATTTTTGTAATGATGTAAATTTGGGATTTAGCCAGAAGTGAAGATGGAGTCTCCTTTTTTTTTCAAGAGAAAAGCATGTTGGCAAAGAATGCAACATGCGATCAGAATCGTGAAATGAAAATGTCTTTTTGTGACATAGTACGTTGGCGGTGCAATCTTTCAACATGGCGTACAAAGAAGAGCATTCGCATTCGTAAGTGGTTCGAATCGTCAAGATCGAGTTTTCTAACATTTTTTTGATTTATTTACAACTGTAGCCATGAGATGACATCAGTTAAATGGTGTGAAAAAGAATTCGATATGAATTATACTAAAGTTGTAGATTGGAACAACTACTTGAGAGAATTTTGTGTAGAATCATTAGCGGAACTTGAGGAAAAAAAAAAAAAAAAAAAAAAAAAAAAACGGTGGTCCTGAGAAAGTAGTTGAGAAAAAAGAGAGCTTATTTACAAAACGAATGAACAATGGCGGTCGAATTCTTTCACAGCAGTGGATATTTGGTGGCGTTTGTCGCGAAAGTTAAAGTTCTAAACTGTTCTTTACCAGTACTGATAGATTCGATAACAAATCATATGAAATAAGGGTCTATTATCTA